CTACAAAATCCATGCATAGTAAGTTTATATAAAAGATAAGAGAAGATGCTGAAAATCAACACGTTAATATGGAGAAGATCATTTGCATACTGTGCTGAAGCCAGAATAGTTTTATTTGAACAATCGTTACTAATATGTTTTGTTTTTAAAGTAATCATTAACTCTATTGTAAGCACTAGATGATATTTTTTTTAAAATATTAATATAATAATATTTAGATGATAATTTTTAAAATTAAAAACATATTGATATGATAATGTATTATATTGGCCTCGATTAATCAATCAAATCTAAAACTTAAATCACGAGATCATAATAACTAATATAAAAAAAGTTAAAATAAGTTGTGAAGACCAATTATTGACCAACTCAATGTTAAAAAAAGATTAAATTAAAAAAAAAATATATCAAGGTTAACCTCTTAAACGGGTCATGAGATCATAAAAAATCCATATATAGAAAAGAAACAAAAAAATATCAAATGGTTTAATTTCCAACTATCTTAATGTTGAAAGATAAAATTTTTTAAAAAAAATCAACTGAGAAGGGAAAAAACAACCCAAGTGGACCAAAACTAACTTGTTAAACTTGTTACTTGAGTTATGATTAAAAGATAACTTCATAAAAAAATTACGAGACTTTATTTTCAACGAATCCAATGTTGAAATTTAAACTCGAGAAAAAATAAATAAATAAATGAGATTAAGATAACTCTAATAAAGTAAATTTTTTTTTTAAGGAATGAAGCTCAATTTTCAAACAATCTAACATTAAAGCAAGAAACAAAAAAAATATATTGAGTTATCAGAGGATAAAGTTGAAAAAAATCAATTAAACAAGGATAAAAAAATAAATTAAATCAACTTAGATTAATTTGGGATCGGGTTATGAGATAAGAATAATTTCATATAAAGCAAATCGAGAAAAATTATGAAATCCAGTTAAAAATATTTAGTTTAAAAAGGATAAAAAAACAAATAAAATCAATACAGATTAACATGTCAAACTCGTAACCTGAGTTATAAGATCGAAATAATTTCATAGAAACCAAATAAAAAAAATTCAAAATCCAGTTTTCAACCAACTCAATATCAAGAAATGAAATTAAAAAAAAAATATTTCAAAAAAAAATGATGAAAAAACTAAGTTGATTTGTTAAACCAACAACATGAATTATAAAACTAAAATAATTTTATATAAACATAAATAAATAAAAATTTCAAAAATACAGCTCTAGCAGACATAATGGTAAATATTGAAATAAAAAAAAGCTAAACTTATAATACTAGTATATACTCCAATAAAAAGAAAATTTAAAAATTATGACTTAGTATAGTTCCCAAAATAACATGATATTAGCATATAAAATTAAAGAAAAAACTAAAAAAATATCAGATTCTTTAGGGGTAAAATTAAAAAAGAAAAAACATAAAATACTATTCTAATTAATAACATCTTATGGGTATGGCTACAATAATTTAACAGTGTTTTGTTAATAACCTCGCCTTGCTTTCCATTATTGTATAAATTCGTGTTTATTGATCGAGCATGTAGTTTTTTTTTATACATTTATTAATTAAATCTCTTCATATGAATCACATTAAATCTCTCATATAAAGATGGCAATAATTTTCATAATTGATTGGCATACGCGCATTTGTATTAAAAAAATAAAAGAGGGACAGTAAAATATAAAAAATTAAAAACAATCACACACTAAATGTATGATTATCGAAATGATAAGTAGCAAACTTGGAAATGCGCGGGTTGCGTGATTAGAGTAACAACAACTTTAATCGCATCTTAAACCATCACTGTTAAAAAAATTATTTAAAAAATTTGAGAGATTTTATACATATATCCCACATAAAAATACAAAGAAGCGTTCCATGTGAAAATTAACTATTAATATAATTATATTACATTAAAAAATTAAAAAATATTTTATGAAAACATACATTATAAAAAAATACTCGAGATTAGCCGATTAAATATTTATAAATTAATTTTATATTTTCAAGCTTAATAAAAAGACATCAAAAAAATAAATCGGGTTTCACTTGAATTATATCCTGGTCATTGGAATTTTAAATTGACCTGGCGAGTCACTTGGATTTGACTAAGTTAATTACAAGTTTGGGTTTAAACCATTTAAAACCTGTCCAAAAATCTGAGGTGCCGAAGTCCTTAACCAACCCCCCAGATCAGATTTTATATTTATGGTTGCCAAGATAAATTATGGAGTCTAGGCACATTGAACCAGCGTAGAAGCCTGGTCGGAAGAAGGACATGCATGAATGGAATTAAAAACTACAAAAGTAGTTAACTATATGATGATCAAGTGGTAAGGATTTGGGATCAAGGAGTTTGCTCTCTCTATGGTCTTAGGTTCGAGTCCTTGGTTGCTCATATGATAGTCACTAAAAGCTTATATGGTCGTTAACTTTAGGGCTCGTGGGATTAGTCGTGGTACACGCAAGCTGGCCCAGACACCCATGTTAATCTAAAAAAAAACTACAAAGTAGTTGTGTAAAACAAACTAATATGAAAAAATAAAATGAAAAAATAATATGAAAAAATTACAAGAGAAGGATATATAGATAGACACACATAATATAAACAAAATAATATCGAATTAAGATAATCATTGGTCAAGGATTTAATTATTTTTATTATAGTAAGGAATTAATTAATTAGTTTTTAAAATTATAAAGGCTACTCGATTCACAGTAAAAAACTAGCTGTGCTAATTTATAATTTATTCCATTAAATTTTCCATGGTACTCTTGGCTCGCCATTGACAGTGATGCAGAAACTTCACCAATCATTAACCTTGTTTTCCTCTCGTACACGTTTAAGAGGATGTTTATTTTTACATTTTAAAAAGTGGTTTAGAATTTTATTTATTTAAATTTTATTTAATATTTTTAAATTATTAAAATGTTAATGTTAAAAATAAATTATTAAAATTAAAAAATATTTTAATACAATTTTAAGCAAAAAAACACTTTAAAATACATCAACTATTACTGCACAAATAATTATATACACACACTTTATATAGTTTTTTCCCTTTTAAAAACATCAAAAACCAACTCAGAAATAATCAAAAAATTAGTATAACTGAGAGAGAGAGAGAGAGAGAAAAAAAAACAGAGAGAACAACAGAGTCTAAGTAACTAGCCAAGAGCAAAATCAGGTCTTCAAAGTCAAAAAGCAATTTCTGGCCTCACAATCACGACGACTATAAAAGCCACCAAAAAGCCATTAAAATCCAGTCCATACAAGTCCTGGACCCCTTATGTACTCCTAACATTTACTTTATCCTGGACCCCACGTCTACTTGCCAACATTTTTTTTTTTTTTGTTTTTTTGCCCCTATACAGACCAACTTAAAGATCGAATACAGACAATGTTGTGAATTTCCTTTTACAAATTCGTCACTTACTAAAGATATCGTTCCGATAAAACATGGCACAAAGATGTCCACGGAGGTGCTCCTATTATTATTTTTTAAGGGAAATTAAAATGTACCGGAATAAGCTAGCAGACAGATGCTGGGTAGGTAGGCAGGTAGATTGCTTTACAGCTACTTTTCAAGGAAAAATAAATATTAAATTAGCTATTAACTTTTTATTCTTAGATTATAAGTTGTTGAATAACTATATAAAAAATACAAAATTTTATTTTTATCAAAGTTAATATTAAATATTAAAATTAAAAAACTAATAATTAAAATTGAAATAAAAAAATAAATTCACGAGATTAATACATATCTTAACTAAAAATATTAAAGATTATTACATGGGCATTTCAGTGCTTGGTCTAGCGGTGGAAGAGACTTGTCTCTTTCCACTGCACCTGTATTCGAGCCCTGACGTATACGTCTGTCATCCTTGCGGTATCTTACATGTCTACTGAGTTTGCAGGGTATTCAGTAGGCCGTGGGGATTAGTTGTGGTGCGCGCAAGCTGACCCGAACACCTCACGTAAATAAAAAAAAAATTATTACATGGAACAATTTCTGAAAAATTAGTTTGGTATCAACATATAAAATTAGAACAAAAAACTAAATGGGTGGCCAAGTAATAAAATTTTAAAAAAATATATATAAAATACTATTTTAACTAATAATGTCTAATGGGCGTGGGTGTGGTTGCTCAAATAACTTATCCTTACCCTTTAGGATCTTGTTAATAATCTCACCTTGCTTTCCATTGTTATATAAATTCGTTTATATATTTATCAATTAGATCTCTTCATATAAATTATATTAAATCCTCTTATATAAAGATGACAATAGTTTTCATAATTGACTGACATACTCACATTTGTATTAAAATAAACAAAAGAGGGACAATAAAATAGAAAAAAAGAAAAAAAGAAAATCACACACTAAATGTATAATTATCGAAATGATAAGCAGCAAATTTGTGTGGGTTTAATGATTAGAGTAATAACAAGTTTAATCGTATCTTAAACCATTACTTTTAAAAAAATACTTAAAAAAATCGAGAGATTATATTTCAATTAATGATGATGGGCAGAAGCTCACTCAAGGAAAAAGAAATTCGGTTAAATTGGAAAGCAGCTATAGCTTTGAATGGTGAGATCGGCTCCGGAAATACCGCGTTTTTCTGAGAGTGTGTGTGCACCAAACGGGGGTTGTTTTTGGCGGGCCAGTTGTTTTATTTTTTTATTCTTGAAATTCTCAATCACACAATTTTTTATTTTAATATCTATGTATGATTTTTAAATAGATGCTTGTTATTAACTTTTATTTGGGTAAGCATTCAGGTCTTAAATTACACGAGATAATCTGGATCAATCAAAAAAAAAATTAATATTCAACATGAAAAAATAAAAAGTATTTTGTAAGCTTATATGAATAAATTAAAAAATATATTTAATATATATATATATATATATATATATGTGTGTGTGTATCATAAAATAAAAAATAATTTATGAGAATCAAAATCCTATATAAACGCGTGTGTGTGTCACACAACATGGGAATATTCAAAATTTCAAATAAGTTTTGCCCTTAGCTGATTGCTGCTACGCAACAGTACTCACACCAGCTACAGCAGACTTGTTAGCCTACTGACCATCGATCTATCATGACCACCACCACCACCACCACCAAGCAACCGCCACACGTCCTAGTGTTTCCCTATCCAGCTCAAGGCCACACCCTCCCTCTTCTAGACCTGACACACCAACTCTCTCTTCATAACCTAACAATCACCATCTTGACCACACCCAAAAACCTCCCTATGGTTTCTCCTCTGCTTTCCACTCACCCACAAATCCAGACCTTAGTCCTTCCCTTCCCATCTCACCCTTTAATCCCTGCAGGTGTTGAAAATGCCAAAGAGCTTGGTAATTCTGGAAACGTGGCCATTATTGCAGCATCTACCAAGCTCTCTGACCCCATTACCCTGTGGTTCAAGTCTCACACTAATCCTCCGGTCGCTATCATCTCTGATTTCTTTCTTGGCTGGACCCAACATCTGGCCCAACACTTAAACATACGAGGTTTTGCTTTTTATCCATCTGCGGCGTTTTTTGCTGGTATTTTAAATTATTGTTGGGGTAATCTGGAGAGTGTAAAGGGTTTGGACGTTGTTGATTTTGTTGATTTGCCTAGATCACCGTCTTTTAAAGAGGAGCATCTGCCTTCTCTGTTCCGTAGGTACAGGGAATCCGACCCGGATTGTCAGCTTGTCAAGGACAGCTTGATTGCAAATAAGTTGAGTTATGGATTTATTTTTAATAGTTTCGAGTCTTTGGAGGGTGAGTATTTGGGTTTTTTGAAGAGAGAATTCGGGCATGAGAGGGTTTATGCGGTTGGCCCTATTAATTTGTTGGGTCCGGAAAGCACCGATCGGGGCAACCCGGTAACGGATTTTTCTGGTAATGTGTTCAAGTGGCTAGATGGGTGTCCAGATGGGTCGGTGCTATATGTTTGTTTCGGGAGTCAAAAGCTGTTGAACAAGAAACAAATGGAGGCATTGGCTGATGGGCTCGAAAAGAGTATGGTCCGTTTCATTTGGGTCGTGAAAACAGGCACGGCCCAACAAGTTGAAGAAGGGTACGGGGTAGTACCCGATGGGTTCGACGAACGGTTGGCGGGTCGGGGTCTGGTCATAAGAGGATGGGCCCCACAGGTTAAGATACTGAGTCACAGAGCGGTTGGTTGGTTCTTGAGTCATTGTGGGTGGAACTCGACGCTAGAAGGGATAGTAGCTGGTGCGATGATATTGGCCTGGCCCATGGAAGCTGACCAGTTCATTGATGCTAGACTGTTGGTGGAGGAATTGGGAGCGGGAGTGGGGGCCTGTGAAGGGACAGCCACAGTGCCTGACTCGGAGGAGTTGGCAAAAGTCATAGGCGAGTCAATGGGTGAAAAAGGTGCGGGTGTGAAGATGAAGGCTATGGAGCTGAGAAGGAAGGCATTGGAGGCCGTGAAAGAGGGTGGGAGCTCCTTGAATGACTTGAACGGGCTCATCGAGGAATTGTGCAAATTAAAAATCCAATAAAGAGGGGCGGTGGAATTATTGCATTGACTATTCCATGTAAGCTTTCTCCAAGCTCGGAGGCCACGCCTGGGATCCACAAGATTAGCATTTGCCTTTTGGGGTTGTCAAGGTAGATTGGAAAATAAAAAAATGTTTTATATTAATAAAGTTTCTAGATATTCACTCTCGATAATTTTTTTTTTTCCTAAGAGCATCTAAATTGTAGGTTTTTCTCGTTAATCTAAGATAAAATTAAGACCCCGATAGATGTGGCGGCAAAAATACAAGTTTCTCTCTCTCTCTTTTTTTTTCCTGCAAGGTGCCTGATAGAGTGTCGTTTTATAGCTAAATCGTCGTGATAACAAAAGGTTTCCCAGCCACAAAAAAAAATAGGAAGTAGATGGAAGGGCATTGGAAAACAAATGAAGGCGAGAAAACAAACGATATAATAAAACCACAGGAGGAAAGTCGGAGCCCTCCGCGGCGATGAAAGGGCTACCAGTGCCATCCACCCAGTAATTTCTCATATTTAGCCTCCTCTAGTCCTCGTCTTCTGGTAATTGGCATTCTCAGAACAAAATCAAATTTCGATTAGACTATTGACTGGAAACATTTAAACACTCTATACTTTCTAATAAGCAATAACTTTTCACTCTGATTTATTCAGACATGAGAAGGAGATCAACAAAGTTGCTTGGCTACCAGATGCACACAGCCTCCATTTACCATACAAAGAAAGACAAAATGACAGATAAATGCTGCACAAATCATGTTATAAAATGCTAGAAAGGCCTAATATAAGACGCCCTAGACTCCAAATAAATCACGCCGGGAGTCATTAGCAATCTTAGACGCTACTCGACTCAAGCTGACACAAGTTGCATAACATTCATGGGAGTGCATATTGATGACTCCTTAAAACAACGACCCGCAAAGATAGAATTAGTAATCTGAGATGGGTGAGCTGAATCAAAATAGATGTATCTGTCCCGCACCGCGCATGGATCGTGTTTTCCATCCCAGCAAGCATTCTGTGTATCTGTTATTCCTGTGATTGAAGAACAAAAAAGAGTTTGAGGGACAGCAATGATAATCACAGATGAAGATGCTAGACGGGCTTCTCCTAAGCAAAATAAAATAGGTCGCCGTCTATCCAAAAACCGGTAAGATATGATTCAATCGGTTTTAATTAGACCTTGAAAAACCAGTTGTAGAGGTCTAAATAGACCAACAGATACCTCGTTAATCTGAAAAGAAAATGCAAGAAAATTAACAAATACCATATTTTTCTTTATTTTCCTTCAGTTCGTGTAAGAACTTGAAAGTGTCCGTGTGTACGAAGAAAGAGCCATAGAGTTGAGATTGCAACTTTGATAGCTTCATGAAGAGCTCCTTGTTGTAGGATAGCAGGGCTTGGTTGAATGATTCTGCACAGTCTCCTTCATGTGGAGTTGACTTGGCAATTGCTGGGATGCATCCTACTGGTCCAAGGCCGGTCACCACAAACTTCCTCGCACCTATCAAATAAAGTTTCTGCCAGGATGGAATATGGCATGTTGGTAAATGACATGATCAAACATTAGAGGGGAATTTGATTTCTTTCCATTTTGATTTGCAAATTAAATTACTGCATCCATCCAGATTTTAAATGTAAATGAAAATTAAGCAATCAAAGCTAGATTCCTTCGCAAATGCAAACATCCCTACCTTTTTAGTCCCAATTACATTACGCTTCGACCAATCGGCTAAATCTCGCTTAAAGCATAATTTTTAAATCCAATCTAAGAGTCAATTTAGATAAATCTTAAATCATGGATCAATTTAATTTTTTTATCTTATAAAAAATAAAAATAACATTATTTTTTTAAAAAAATTGAGTTTTTTCTGAATTTTTCTTGGATTAACCAATAAATTTAGATTTTTAATCAAATTAATTCTCCTATTTCTGGCTGAAACTCAAGCCAGCCTAGACATGGGGTCGCACGGTCCATGGACCACAGGCTTCCTCATAAACCCATCAACCATGTCCCATCTAAGCTGAGCCGTGTAAAGATGAAAAACCCTAACAGCTATGTCAATCACTGTAGCTAAACTGTTGCCTAAATTGTCATCAAGAACGGTAGCTTTTTCTTAAGGATTGCCACTGTGTTGTGAAAATTCTGAAATAACATGGAAATAAAAGAAGCCAATGAGCCTTTAATTCAACGAGCTATATGTCCTCCCATCCTAAGATATCTTAAAATTAAACTTCTTTTTTGTAAAAAAAAAAAAAACCCACAAAAAGATTTCCCAAGTTATACAAGATAGAGGTGAGGAAACCAAACCTTGTAAGAATCGTTGGTGTTAAAATTTACTAATTGAAGACAATGCATAGAAATAAATGAGTTGAAGAGAAACAAAGAAAACCTTCAAGCGTTTGACAAGTTCCTCTGTTAGGAATTTGGCAAAATAATCTGGTGAGAAAAGCTTGTTCATTTTAGATGCGATGTTACGATAATTCATGATGTAGTCATTGGAACCGATGGAGATAAAGAAGATGGATTTGGCCAAATGCACTTTAATGTTCTGCACATCCAACGTCTTTGCAGTAATTTTGAATAAATCTGTCTGGTTGTCCAAGGTCAAGGGGGATCCCTACACAAAAACCAAAAGAAATAATTATGTCGAAATAAATTGTTCGGACCATCCAATTTACACGGCTACAATCCAGATAGTTTTCATTGGCATCTCTTATATTCTTCGTTTGATTTTAATAACTATAAAGTGTTTGAATTAGGACCATCTTTATCAGGTTTTATCTACTATCAGTGACGAACTACCACCAGATGAAAGGTTGGACTGATATAAGTTCATTCATATCGGTATTAAATCTAAGAATCATCAGATTTGAGTGTTTCAAGGTTGAAAATTTCTATATATAAAAAAAAGAGTGTTAATATTGAAATGTTGAATATTATTTAGTGGTCTTTTAGAATGATTTAGTGGTTAGATAGGCGGAGTTTTGATCGTGAATAAATGATAGAATGAACGCTAATCTAAACACCAGATCAAAGGAACCTCAGTTCATGTGTGCACAGTGTAGCCCAGGGTTTAGCAACTTATAATCATGATGCGAATGATGTGGTAATTCATACCGTAAAAGATCCAGTTTCCGGCAGGATACCAGACGAGGCAGATGCAAAATTCAATCCGGTAGTTGTCGTACGTCTCTCGAGTTCAGAAAGATTCATGTAAGGAGGTGCAAAGGGTAAACCAAGAAATCTAGCTGCAAAGAAAAAGAATTGCTCATATACCAGAAGGAATAGAAAATGATAAATCCATAAGGGTGTTTCATTGCAGCTCATTGGTTGGGAGGTGAGATGAGGATTTGTAAAATCGAAATTTAATTCTCGCAGATATGCAAGAATCCCTCTCCCCAATTCTTCTAAGCTACCAACTGGGTCAATAAAATCCTGTTTCAACTAGCAATCATCCTGAGCTGTCTACGAGTTTGACTGAGCTTTATCTACCCTACGTCCAAGAAGCAAGGGCTCAAGTTCTTCGTCAAAAAGAAGAAAACAAGAAACTAGTCTTTACCAAGATAGTCAGGCACAGTCAAGCCATTAGTGAAACGTCCGGTTGCAGTATGATTGAAGTCAATGCCATAAGGAAGAGAATTTGCTCTGGCTGTTGTTGAAAGATTATTATTGTTTCCTGCATCTACGGTGGAATCACCAAAGATATACAAGGCTGGAACAAGCTTTGTGTTCTTAGCATTGTCACAGATAGAGAAAAGCTGCAAGAGGAGGAGAAGAGATGGAGAAACAGAGCAGAATATAAGAGCTTTTACCATGGACCTCAACGAAAAAACCCGCATTGTATATATATATATGTATATTAGTTTAGAATGAAATATATTACCAAACACCTTTGCAGCAACACAATAACAATGGCACCAAGGGCCGCAAAAAGAGCTAAAATAAGAACCACGAATATTGCAAGATGAACCCCCTTCATGATTCTCTATGCAAGCAACCAAAAAAAATTTGTCATATTTTAATTGTTAAGTTATGCCTTGAATTCAGTTTTTGAAAGGAAAAAAAAAACTTATGCCTTAAATTATCACAGCTCTAAGTGCACTTTTAATTCTATGCGTTAATGTTAATAATATCGCTATTCTCCCACACAATTCTCATTCCCGTAATTTAACTGTCTTTTATTATCATTATTATAAGTAAACTATATTTTTGCCCTTATTGATCTAGCCATTTTCCATTTCTACCCCAGAGGTTACATTTTTTCAATGTTATCCTTATAGTTTCGATTTTTTTCTCTTTGCTACTGAATAACAGACAAAGAGCTAACTTCTCGTACTTTCTGTCATTTATTTCCCCTCACAAGTCCAACATAAATGTTATAATATCTTACAAAATAATTGAAAATCCGAATAAAAAATCAAATTTCGAAAGTAGTCTATTTAATGGATAGGGATAACATTAGAACTCTTTGAAAACTTGAAGGATAACATTGGATAATCTTAAACCCTAAGAGTAGAAGTGAAACGTTGGTGAACGTGTAAGGAAAAAAATTAAAATTTACCCTATTATTATTATTATTATTATTAGGAAGTAGGACCTCAACGATCTATTCTCTAAATGGAGAGATCACCGAAAGTTAGGGCCCCTAAAGATAATCTCCACAGTTATAAATAGTATACGTATGAATAAATATAGAGAATGTTAACTTAATATTGATTTTAATTTGAGAGTTACAAAATGGAGCAATAACTCTACCTCTCAAAGCACCACATTCTCAACTCTGAGCTTTTAATGTACCTCAGACTCGAAGAACCATAGCTTTGTTTAAAATTATCAAAATGAATATATTCCTAAATTTGTTCAGTGAATTGGCACAAACCATGGGGTCTGTCTTCGATCATCTTTTTACTATCCTCATCATTCTAGCTTTCATCTTCCTGATTGTAGAGAATAAGGCAAGTATTGTTTATTAATCGCGTATATATTATTTCACAAAGCATGGGGTCAGCAATTTTTTTGTCTCGCTTTCGAAAGAGGTTTTCTGATTTCTATTTTTGTCACTGTAGAGATGGAATCTATACAGTACTGTGGGTGTAAACTGGTCAAACAAACACAACACTGCCAGTTATTGATGGCATTAGGGGGAGATGATTGACTCATGCTGCACCTCAAGAAGGTGTTTTTGTGATATTACATGTGGACACAGACTCCCTTCTAGTTTTTTTTTTTTTAAATTTAATTAAGAATCCATTCAAATGTAAGATTGAAAAAAATTATTTGTCTTGATTCTTTTACCGGAAATATAAGAGCAGTTTTTTATACCAAAACAAAGAACACTTTGAGCTCGCCATAAGCAGCAACAAGGACCATGGGCTTCTTGGGTCGGACACAATCTTACAAGTTGGGTAGCTCACAAAGAATGGAAAATCTAGTCTTATTCTCCCTTGTATTTCACTTGAAATTTATCCCTTGAGTTTTGTTGCAACCTGAACGTTGGTCTAGCTCACGTACTGCAGCAAAGCTATTTAAATTTTAAAAGCATGGTATTTTTATCACGTATAGAAGCCGTCAGCCATGAAATACTTTGGCTGAGACAAGCATTTATAAGGTTCGAAACAATGTGGTAGCTCCGAATTGCATTAAAAAGAGGGTGGGAGATACATACTTCCTTCAACTAGATGAACCATGTCTAGCTAACAGCATTTCTCCCAGCCTTTACGATCTTGTTGGCATCACTACTCGAATACCTGAGATCTCCAGGAAGCTTTCTTGATATCACCGAGTTTAAGGCCTAAACCGGCTCACGCAATTGATGGGGCAAGCTTTGACACAAACAAGCACGCACTATCTTTTTGCGACTTGTACCCTGTTATGAATCTAGATGATGCAGTTACTTTTTCCACTATCTCATTGCAAGACATCGCTAGCAGTGAGCTCTGTTGAGTTCTTGAAGATGAGGAGGCTAGGGAACCTGAGCAGAGAGCACAGTTTTAAATTTGAGAATTGTTCGCATAGAGATTAAAAAGCGTTTGTAGACAAAATAAAATAAAATATTGCAGCAGTCGACATATCAAAATCGATAAATCAATCGCTTCCCTATTTTGCCATGCATATTTCATATGCAAGTGCTTTTATTCGTTCTTCCCCCCTGACTTGGGCAATGTATTCTCACTTCTTTTCCTTTATCTTTCTAATCTTGCATAGTTTCATTCTTGTTCAAAACTTAAAAGAATGATTTTTCTAAACACCATGCATTTCAAGCAAACTCATTTCATGTAAAGATGACAACAAACAGACAAATCTAAAATTTCACACACCACTGTCGAAAGCTTAGAATTAGAAGCTTCAAAAAATTAAATGATACGCACAAGGTTGAATCTTTGCCATCAAGTGCCTGATATATTTTCAGGAGCTGCTTCTCAATGCCAAGCGGTATCTCAGATGAGCTACAACTTACAAGTATCCTTTCATGATTCACTAATTAACTCTAATGCTTGCAAGCATGCAACAAAATTTTGTGTCATTCAAACCTAGGATTGGAGGTGGGTGTTAAAAGAAAAGAATTTGTTGTATATTCACTTGCAGGATACATCCAGAAATACATCAGGTAAAGAGAATTCAGAAACATAAAGTCCAATATTTTCTTACCACAGATGTTTCAGATACAAAGGTTGCAGATTTCAGAACCAACTTGTAAGTTCAGTAAAACCCAGAAAGATCGTCACCGAAAAATGTTAACCAACTTGTTTATTTTCAATGAGCATATTGTCCTCAGCTTTTGTAATTATCCATGGTTCATAAACAAACAAAATTGATGAATGTCAAAGACAGCCTTCTTCCAGGTGCTCTGAACAGGAAGAAAGAAATCAATCAAACGTGCATAGATACATGAAAATGCTGATTCTTATGCTTCATTGCATAAAAACATACTCAAAAAAGAAAGAAAAAGCTGAAAATATATCAAAACTAGAAAGAAATATGATAGCATTTTTGTGATTGCCAGTTACGGCTTCATTCTATTCTGACTAAAACGATTACTGAGAAAACTTGATTGTTCTAATACCTTCATGCACCTTCAAGTTTCTTTATGAGCTCTCCACAAAATAGTCACTCAAAATTGGCACTGGTACTGTAATGATCTGCTGGATACAATTAACCTAGAAGGTGGACCTAGGGATGCTGTCAATGTTATCCTGTGAATTTACCATTCCACAGCAAGTATCTTTCTTGATAATGTTTGTGACCCCAGCTATTCTGGAATTTACTTGAATGAATAAAACATAAAATGACAGATAATAGCCTATATAAGCTAAAATTTGGCACAGCCCAAGAAACCTCATTTAAAATCTAAAATGGTGCATTTCCTATCTTAAAGCATCTGCAAGATACTCTTAACATTATTGGTTGTCGATCATCCATGACAATGAATTTCATGATCACACCTTTTAAATTAATTCCATGGTTGAAAGTGACCATAAGAGATTTTCAGGTATCTGGTTACTCCATACCTTTTATACAAATGTGCTCAAACGTCTAAAAAAACCGACAGCTCTTGCATGGATGCAGGGAACCAGATTGGCAGCGCTATTTCATGGATTAATCATGCAGTAACCCAAATTTGATCATCACAGCTAGGAGTTCAAACACCGACTGGACATGGCCAGCTCTGTGAAAGGCATTAAGCATCATTTCAAATATTTCTTGATCAGGGGAAACACCATCAGATAACATAATACAGAAATAGTACTTGGCTTCATTTATTAGACATCTCTTGCATAATCTATTAATCACGGCACTATAATCTTTGATCGATACTTCAAACCCCTTCTCCACCATTTGATGGAACACCTTCACTGCTTGTTGTGCATCACCCTTGATGCAATGTGCTTTGATCATTGTGGTGTAAGCAACTTTTGTCAAGTTAATATTTCGGTCCTGAAGAGAAACAAGTACACGGTCAGCATCCTTTACATCACCATATCGACAAAGGCCATCAATGAGAACATTATATGTAGCAGGAGTAGGCTCTAGGTTATGAATCAACATGTCATCAAGTAATTCAAATGCTTTTCTCATGTCTTTAGCCTTGCAGAAACACTGAATGATTGTATTGTATGTAATTTGATCTGGAGCTAGGCCTTTAGCACGCATATCCTCTAGTAATTGGACAGATTCTTCTAATTTCCGTTGTTTGCACAGTCCTTTGATTACTACAGTATAAGTGACAACAGTAGGTTCTATGTCTTTTAAATTCATCTCAAGCAGCAATTCATGCAGCTTGTTTATATTACCCTCTTCACAGTATGCATTCATGAGAGTGGTATAAGTTACTGCACTTGGTTCCAATCCATGCAGCTTGATTGTATCCAACAACCTTCTAGCCTCAACAACCTTTCTGTTTTTGCAGAATCCATAAATAAGAGAATTAAAAGTTACTATACTAGGAGTTATTGCTTTGTCTCTCAACATCTTGTATAATCGGACACCCTCTTCAACATCACCAAGTTTTACATACCCATCGATCATGATATTATACAGAGTGACATCCGGCTTCAAGTTACTCATTATCAGAGAGTCAAAATACATCCTGGCTTCTGATAACATCCCTTTCTCACAAAGACCCTTTAGAATACTACTGTCGGCAAAAGAATTTGGAAAGATTCTGTTGAAGCACATTTCTTTATATAGTTGTATGGCCTGTTGGACTTTTCCTTGTTTGCAGAGACCATGAATAAGGATAGAATATGTAACAAGATCTGGTTGCAAGCTGTTGGCTTCCATTTCATAAAGCAATTGCAATGCTTCATCAACTTGTCCACGTTTACACAAGCTGCTGAGCAACACACTGTATAAAATGACATTCAACTGAAAACCGCTTGAAAGCAGATCCCTTCTCAGCCTTAATGCTTCCTCAATATTTCCCATTTGGCAATGCCCGCATATTAGTACTGTATAGGTAACAAGATCTGGCTTTAGCCCTTCATCAGTTAACATCTTATGAATAATCTCCCGGGCCCCACTCATCAAACCAAGTAGATGGAAACCTTTGGCAACAATTTTGTAAGTTACCATATCAGGCTGTAAACCCTGCTTCTCCATGTCATTTGTGAGCTCCAAAGCTTCTTCCATGGAACCAGCTACAATCAACCCATGAATAAGTATATTGTAACTGTATGTGTCGGGAAGTATTCCATATTTGAGCATCATACAGAAAAAAGATTTTGCAACATCAGCTAAACCTAACTTACAGTACCTTGACATGATGGTATTAAAAGAAACAACAGAAGGTGCAAACTCCTTCCCATCATTCTGCCGCAGGAACAAAACTGCATCTCGAAATCTAGACTGTCCGCATAGCCCATCTACAATTATGGAACTAGTGCGAGCACTCTGAGGAGTGCCACTGTCTTTGATATCATTGTAGACATCCCACATAATATCAGTGTGCCTCAAGTTGTACAACAAACTGTTGTACGTCTGTATCGATGGTCGCAAATTCTGTTCTTTCATCTTCACGAGAACAAAAAGAGCATCATGAACCATCTCAAATCTCGAATAAATAAAAGCCAACATATCCCATACCACATTGCTCGAATCCCAACCCTTGAAGCTACTGAAAAGCAGCTTACAGAGCAAAGGAGCTGACCCAGTGCCTATCAGAAATCACACGAAATCTATAAACAACAAAATTAGCATTTTTCAAAAATTCAACAAACAAGAAACTAAACCCGAATTGTTAAAATCTAGAAATTGCCAAATAGAAATCAATTGACCTAAACAAACTCATTAGTCTCTTTAAAAAAGAAAAAAAAAAAGAAGAAACTTTTCAAATCATAGAAGCCAGAAAGATTGTTTTCTGACATTAATTTCGATAAGTAAGAAAGTCACCTTCCTCTTGAAGCATTTGATCCAAAACCAAACGCAAGTCCTTAAACCTTCTCTTTCGCGCCAAAACATGAGAAACCAAAAACCGAGAAACCCTCGAATGTTGGAATCCAAACTCATTCCTTGACAAATGATAGAAATCCACCACAAAATCCGCATTCTCGACGCTCAAATTCTCAATCACATCATCCATTTGAGCCTGATTTAACGTTACAACCAAGTCTTTGAAGTAATGACCACTGACAAATTGTCTAAAACCCAGGTCCCTAAAGCCAGAGAGAATCGCGTGAACTGGGTCCGTTGAGATTTGAACAATAGGGGTGGTGGTGGTATCGAGATTGGCAGCGGAGGAGATGGAGAGTTTAGAGAAGATGAGGGAGGAGAGAGAGGTAAGAATTGGGGATTTAATGGGAAAATAGAGTGACCTGGTCCATTTGTTGAGCATGGAAATGTAAAGTGGTTTTAGATTTTTGAAGAGATGCCGTTTTGTTTGGTTCTTGGGAAATTTTAATAGATAATTTTTAGGGTTTTAGAGAGGAAAAAACCGTTAGCTTCCTGGCAATTTTGAGTTTTGAGGTTTTGAGAGAGAGAGCGAGAGAGGGAGGCAGGGGTTTTAAGACGGGGGTTTAGGATTGAGATTGCATGTACAGTTGCAAGATGTGCGGCTTTTTTATATTTATTTATTTATTTATTTTTAACATTAAGGCATTAGCTTTTGTGCAGCGAGAGTAATTACTTCTCCTCCATTTATCAACCAAAATAAACATTTCGAGACTCCATGCATTGAGAAGAACATATTCCCATAATTCTCAATGAAAATTTGAATTTTATATATATATATATACGCCAACATTATGGTTAAGTGAACATCTTGACTTGATATGTAGCTAATTAGGGTTTTTCAAGCTTTAAATTGTTTAAAAAAATTCTACAGATCTAAAATTATAATTTTAAATTACAGAAAAAAATTATTATATTAAAAGTCAATAATTCATTGAAATTTTCTGAAAACAAGGGGAAAGTTAAAGTTCAGAAATAAATACAAAACAAATATTTTCTAATTTTAATTTGAGGATTTTCTCAACCTCATATGCTTCTAGCAAGTTGATCTCATCAAGAATATGATATGTACAGTATTATTCTTGTATTTCATGTTTTAATCAAATGATTAAATATGAACTTATAATTATTATTGTAATTTTTTTTAATAATTATAATTATTGATCTTTGTCATGTCTATCTATTTCATAAACACAAGCACCGGTGGTTTCATATTAACATTTAATTTGATGCATTAATTAGGAAAAAATATTTTTTAATTAAATTAAATTCATTAATTTTATTTTTTAATATTTAATTATTTTTTTAAATATTAAGATACTAATTCAGATCTACAAGACTCATTTGAATTTGTTTAATTTTTTTAAAAGTTTTTTTATATAGTTTCATCCACTATTATTTTGTTATTCTTTTTATTCCATTTCTATAAGAACTTTTTGGTCGCTTTGAAAGTAATAAAAATTTACTTAATTTTTTTTATTTTTGATTGAATTTAACTTTTAAAAAAAGAGTTTTATTTTGTAATTAAATCAAATTAATTGCATAAGTGCAAGCATGCTTGTTTTATGTTGTTTTGTTTGGTTTATTTTTTGGGTAAAGCGTATGATTTTTTTAACCATTAAATTTTTTGATTTTTCAAATTTTAAAAAAATTATTGATATTATATAAATATTTTTTTGTATAAAAAAAATGCAGCCGAGGACATGCTATCTGTCTAGTATCTAAGTTCATAAGCAAATGTACGAGTAGGCGCGCATCAACATTCAATTTGATGCATTAATTATATAAAAAAGTCATATCAGAATGATTTCATTTAATTAGTTAATTTGTTCCACGTTACAATAAATAAAATTTTCATGATATTTTCTAATCCACGTCATGAATAGCCTGTTTCTGAAATAAGATATTCATGAATTAAGTTTATGTCAACAAAATATTATTAAAAAATACTACCATCCAACCATAAAATGCTGAAAAGGGAGAAAACTTAATTTCTTGTACAGGTGGGGTGGGGTCGTTTTAAATAAAATGGTGGTATAATATGGACGCAATATTTTCTATGAGATAGTGTGGAATTTGATAAAAATAAATGAATGAATAAATGTAATCGTTTGATTACTGGCTATGGATCCCGGATTAATTCCGCCAAACCCTGTATATTAAAAAAAGATAATCATAAATTGCCGTTAATGTGCTTTATTCCATGCTAAAAATCAAGAGAGAAAGAGAAGAAGAAAGAACGCACAAGGATCATTATGCAGATCCTAGAACCCTAAATAAAATCATGTATAACCAATGGCTCATCATGATTTCTTAAAACTTATTTCTTGTTATCTTGTCTCTACGATAAACACTTCTGTTCTAGAATTCAGAGCTAAGCACATGGTCCAAACACGTTTCTGTTTTGCAATTCAGGAGGAAGGCAAGCAACGCAGTTTGTTTTGTCTGATGTTATAAGTTCGTCAGCAAAACCCCAATGAGGCAATGAGCTGTGTGAGAACTGAAACAGAAAAACTCTTCCAAATGGAGCTGCTCTGCAACAACAATCTACGAAATGAATTGCTGTCTGCACAGATTTGGATACAAGGAGAGAAGCCACAATCACTTAGCAATCTGTTCATGTGTCCTTTCCCATACCTCATGCTAGTAAACAACACCCGCTCGCAATTTTATTGATGGCATGCGATGGGATTTCTCTGTCTATGTAGGCAACAGGTACGCCTCGGACTTTCAAGGCACAAGAGTACAAGTTAAGAATAATTTCTGGACCCATTACACTTCCATTGAGACCAACACCGCAACTAAAAGCAAATCCCAATGTTAAATATGTTGAACATTTAACATTAATTCAGTAAATGAAAGTGCTTTTCTTCTAATTTCACACCATCTAGTCTAGCAATAGCCCGACAAAAAGAATGATGCTGGAAGGAAACATGAATGATATCTGAGGTTCGCAAGTGCGCACACGGAATTGTTTAAAGATTGATGTAAGCATTCTTGAAAAAAAAATGGCTTAATATGGAGTTTGGTATTGCCAGTGAGAGTCGGAATCTAAATAGTGATGAGATTATTTTAATTAGTAGAAAAAAATCGAATTTTCATTTCTGAACAAGATATACCAAACACAAACATGGATTGATTGGCTAGCTAAACCACCAGAAACTATAAAGAACAGTCTATCCAAGACTCTGATGCATGCCAATTCTTATTCTCTATTTCTTTAATCACATCTAGAAATTCACAAGTAATTTCTTCAGAGATAGATAAAATAATATCATCCCATAGCCATATTGATTTTACTTCAAATCCAAGAAGCATAGAGTGATAAATCCACAATGAAATTCACATTTCACCTACTTAGGTGCCTCACCTATAAAGCTCCCCTCCCCCCACTTTTTATACCTCCAAACCTTTTATAGATACCTCGATCCAACTTTTTCTATCTACCCCAATTTAAGACAGCAACTGTCTCATCTTCTCCAGACTCCAGGCATGTATAAGGCAAATGTAAGAAAACAAATTCTGGAGAAGAACAACATTTCAATCAAGGAAAAAGAGAAGCCAATAAGTAGTACTCAAGGGCTCTTCTCTAAACACCTCAAGAGAGTTTATCCAATTGGGCTACATCGAAGCACTTCCTCCCTATCCTTATCATCAGTCTCATTATCTTTGTCACAGAACTCAAATGATTCTTCTCTCACAGATTCTTCAGCTGTTCCATTGGAACAGAAGATATCCTTGGCACTTCGTCTAATTTCTCCACTGGAAAGAAGAGAAGTCCCGGTGGCTAGAAACTTCCAGCCACAGCAGCAGCAGCAGCAGCAGAATCAGGATTCTAACGATGGGGAGGTGAAGAGGTGCAACTGGATTACAAAGAACAGTGGTATAATATATTAAAGTTCATGAAATTACCATCTTATTTTCTCATACATGTATACAGCATCTAAGGATAGGCTAATTTCACTGTGATACAGAACTATTCTTTTTCCCAAAATTAATAATAAAAAATATGTGTGTATTCTGCAATTGTTTCTAGTTCATCACATGATGCTTCATTGAAAAAAAAAAAAAAAAACTGACAATGCTGCAGTAGTGGTTAGGATGTGAAATAATTAAATAAAATAAGGTCAAACTTAATAAAGAAGCTCATGAAGCTTCTATCACTATGTGGCAGTAGAAAGTAACAACATGAGTTAATAAGAATCACAAGGTTCTAAAACATTTTCCTGTTTTTATCCTCATGTACAATTCAAAACAGTTCTCTACCAAACTGTACAGCATCTTAGATATTGTATATATGCATGTATCCATAATATTTAATGTATGTCAATGATTGCTATCCACAAAAGGTTCCAAAATGTATACCCACTATATATTCTTACATCAATTTTTAGGTGTATAGTACTAAAAATAGATAAGAGAGAACAAGTTTTGCTGATGCTATATATTTAGACATTTAATTCTAAGGTTTGGTACAGATAAAGTTTATGTGGCATTTCATGATGAATGCTGGGGAGTTCCAGTTTACGACGATAAGTAAGTGAGTTTGATCTAGTACTCTACCTGCATAATCATTGTGTATTATGCCAATTTAATTAGTTCAAGTTGTGATTAACTTAATGGACAGTCAATTGTTCGAGCTGCTTGCGTTGTCTGGTATGCTGATGGACTATAATTGGACAGAGATTTTGAAAAGAAAGGAACTATTCAGGTAGGGTCTTTGGACCACTCCTCATCAATTTGTCAAAAAACAAGAATTTCTATGAACCACTCTAATTAACTATTGTTTGTTATTTGGTTTCTTACATATCTTCTCTGATTTGATTTGATTTGATTTGTTTTGAGGATGTACCTAAGAGCTTATTGTCTTGTTAAAATATAGAGAAGCTTTCGAGGGATTCGATCCGAATATTGTAGCGAAAATGGGTGAGAAAGAAATCATGGAGATAGCCTCAAACAAGGCAATCATATTGGCTGAGAGCAGAGTGAGGTGCATAGTGGACAATTCCAAATGCATACTGAAGGCAAGTCTCGAAAATTAACGTCCATCCATTACTAATGGTTTCACTGGCATCCCATTGAGCTGCTTGCTTAAGATTCTGGTTTTCTGATTCAAAACGCAGATTGCAAGGGAATTTGGATCTTTTAGTAATTACATGTGGGGTAATGTGAATTTCAAACCCACAATCAACAGATACAAATATCCAAGAAATGTTCCTTTAAGGTCTCCAAAAGCAGAAGCCATTAGCAAGGATCTACTCAAGCGTGGATTTAGATTCGTCGGACCAGTGATTGTGTACTCATTCATGCAAGCAGCAGGGTTGACAATCGATCATCTTGTCGATTGTTTTAGGTATAGTGAATGTGTAAGCCTCGCAGAAAGACCATGGAGGCATATCTAATATATTGTCAGGAGTCAGAAGGTGTAAATAGAAGATTAATGCCCTTCTTCATTAAGCATAACTCTTAACACTGAAGTTATGCATCAAAATTAAATTATAGCCACGAAATAGGATTGCATAACCCCCCACCACCACCACCACCCCTTTTTTCCTTGGACATTGACAAGTGATTTGCTCTGTTATTTGCCTTCATTTCTGTGACTGTCATGGATGAATAAGACTAAATGCTTGTGATTTTTTTCTAGCGTATTTCTACTGTTCTTTATTATGTTGGAAGGAGACGGCTCTGGTCATGGGCTGGTGGCAGATACTGATCAGGTCACCAGGGCAAGCACGAAAACGTATCAGATTGAAACAACAACGATGGCCATACTGATTGGAAATGGTGGAAGGTTCCTTCACTGATTGGTGTTTGAGGGTTAGGTAGCTCTATTATTAAAACCATGGAAAAATCATCTAGCAGCCAAATAATAGTCTGCGTTAGTGAGAATCTTCATTAAACAAGTAGAGATGAAGCTTTAGTTTTATGATATCCTGATCAGTTATTTATATCAATTTTATCCTCCAAATCTCACAAACTCTAACAAGTCTTTCCAACCAAATTCTTCTTCTTTCCATGCATTTTTTTAGGAAACTTGACATTTTATGTTAAAGAATTCAAATGGAAGACCCCTACTGACAAATCAAGATTATCAGGAAAATAAATTGATATAAAAATTTATTTGAAAGCAAAATTCACGCCAGCCATAGGCTTTTCCCAAAATCTATCGAGTTTCTTTCACTTAAACAAACCATTTCTTTCTTCCTGAGCTAGAGGCAGGCGAAGCTGGGGATAAAATCCCTTTCCTCCTTAGGACAACCCTTGAAGTTTTCTGGTAATCGGACACTAGATTTATCCTAAACGTTCGCTTGGTCTTTCTATGGTCTCGAACGTTTAGCGACCCACAGGTTCTTAAATTTCTTAGCAAGGCCATAGTTTTGTATCTTAAAAGGCCGGAACTAGCCCATAAATTTGAGATCCAGGAAAGCCCATTATTTAGAGGAGAATGGCTTGAATGAAAAGGCTAGGGGGGTGTCCATAATCTTTACAGAGCAAGGATCTCTTACGGAGCCCAAAACGACACAAAGGCGCGCAGCAATTGGACTTCTAAAGCTTGATGCCCTCACTAATTAATGGGGTCCCTGTAAACGTAGTGGACATCCTATTCCTCGAGAATTCTCACGTTTTAGCTTCTTTTTTTTCTTTTTTTTTTGAGATTTAGAAAAGCCATTCATATATTAAAAAATAAAAATCATTCCCATAGACCTATATACGGTCCCGTCGTGAATCCTAAACCGAGATAGTAAGAAGGGAGTAAAATCACCTCTCTTCTGAGCCAAACCTTCGAGGATTATTTATGTTTTTTATTGATTGTTTTGGTGGGAATACGTACTATGTATTATGAATGCATACAGAGTTGATGAGTTAAGATATGTTTTTTGATGTTTTAAAAATATTTATTGAAAAAATATAAAAAAATATTTAAAAATATTTATTGAAAAAATATAAAATCTTTTTTTAACTGAATATTTTTTATATTTTTAGATCATTTTAATGTGCTGATATCAACAATAAATTTTAAAAAATAAAAAAATATATTATTTTAATATATTTTTAAATAAAAAATATTTTAAAAATAATCATACATATATTTTTAAATATGATAAAAATATTTTAAAAAATAATTATATATATATTTATAAAAGAAACTACAGCAATAGCTGTTACCCGTGAAAGGCAAGCCGTGCAACATGTTTTATTTCCTTAAAATACCGTGAGGTGAGAATCATAAAATTGCATGCAATTTTGCTTGTACATAGTTGTTACTCGCTAATGCATAGTACCAACAGTTTTTTAAAATATTTTTTTGAGAAGAGAGATTCACCGAATTAATTGTTACTAACCCAATTTAATAATAACAGAAAAAAATATAGAAAATGACAAAACATGTCTTAATACAAATACAAAGCTTCGGAAATTAGATTTTAGAGTTAATTTAGTGATTTCATTTCTTGAAAATGTAAAATACTGAAAATACCCCTTAAAATAATTAAATGAAAGTAACTTTCAAGAACAATTAAGTAATTTAATTACACCATTTAAATATGAGATTGTTATAATCATCCTCGGGAGTTTGACAATAGCATTTGAATCCTTACAAAATTATCAAACTATCCTCTTAGCAGATATGTTGTTCAGAGATATAATAATTTTACTGTAAGCTCTTTCAACTTTATATATAATATTCAAGAATTGATTAAGCCTAGAGGACAAATAATTAATTTTATTTAAATAAATAAGAGCCTTATCGATTAAAAACTATTGAAACAAGAAAAAACAACAATAAAATATAGTCATGATAATTGGTTTTTCTAATAACCATGAAGAGAGTGGGGACTAATAAAGCTTGATAGGATAGAAATTACACGACTGCTACAGAACTTCTAGACTAATAACCAAGGAAAACACAGGATAAAAAGGATTCCCCATGTTTGCTTCCTTGACACAAATTCCATTCCTAGTTGATTAAGACGTTGGGTTAAAATACCATATCCTCTTTAATTCTTATCTCTTTTCTTGGAATAATATACCAGCTATATCCTGAGAGATCATGCACGGAGGAATATGGGTGTTTATGGCCCTATCAGCCTATCTTTTTTAGCCATTTGACGTTCTGCGTTGAGTTCTTCTCCTTAATCTTGATTAATGGAATTCTTTAATCTAACTTTCTCAGATTCCAATTATGGTCTTCTTTAATTACCATAGATGCATTAATAGACTTCCTTTCAAAAAACATTGCCCTCGTCTTCTTTCATGCTCTTACATGCATACAGCCACCTGATTATTATCAGTCATGGATTTGCATGCAGGAGCACATTTAACATCAAGATTCAAGACCTGCTGGACAGGGAGGAACATGAAAAACCCTGATGCGTTTATCATGTTTCTTGACTTCAGAAACTGAGAATTTATTTGGAATCTGGTCAGCTTTGTTGCGCATCTAAACTGTATAACAAATCTCAGGAAGTGATCACAAGGTTTAAGTAAGTTAGAACCATAAGTAGACAGTCTCAGAAATCACAGTTGCTGCGAGACTCATCATGAGCTAGGCTGCACTAATGAAAGAAATGATCTTCACACCACCATGATTTGAAGTCTATTATTGTCATCATAGATCTTCAGAATCCATACTCTTTCTTTAACACTCATTTTCATGCTGAGAGGTTCACATGCACGGATTCCCGATATTTATTGTGCTTTTGATTCTTTGTTCTTCTTCTTTTATTCAATAGAATTTGCTGCTTTAATTTTCTCAATCAAGTTAATGTTCAAGATGCGGCCAAGTTTCTTGAGGTCAAGTTTTTCTTTTCTTTCCCTCATCATCCATCCGCATGTGCTTTAGCTTTCCTCTCATTTACTTGATCATCACATGAGGGTAGGTCAGGTCTCAACACATTACACCAAACACGGGTACTTTATTATCATTATGCCCAAGGACATAGGCAAGGCTATTCATTTCAAGCAGAGCCTTAACAGTAAAATAACTGGACATTTTTCTGATCACATGGTCAGATGTCTTTATATGACGTAAATAATCAAATATTTGTTAAACATAACTATGATTTTGCTTCACAATATCACCAAGGGAACAACTAGACAGACGTGTCCATATAGGGCCACTTTTGAGCACCTGCCTTTGCTCCTCTACATTGATCCATCATTTTAGCTTAAACTTTAATCTATCAATAAAAACATCAGGCTGGACCCCTGCTCCAGGAACAAGTGGAAATTTAAAAACAAAACAAAGAGAATCTGATTAGATTAGGCTGCCACGATGGTCACTGTGCATAACCCATTATTCTGTACGTACTGTTAGTTTCCTAATCCCCTTCTGTTAATTGTAGTCCAATTAATTAAGCAAACTAAAAGAAGAACTAGGGTTCGGAAACCTTGAATGGTTATAATGACAGTTATGATGCCGGAGCCGGCTTTAAGTTTAAGGGTTATTTTAATAATGGTATAAGACATCACTTTATAAACACTCCAAGAATAAATAAAATATATTTTTGAATTGTTTATATTTAAAAAAATAAAAATTACCCAAAATCCAATTTATCATATATACATAAAAAAATTAAATATTTAAAAAAATCATTTATAATTTTTCAAATAACTTGAGCCGGTGACCTTCACCAAACTTTAATGCCTAGATAACCTTGATTTGGCACTCATGACTATGACTGGTAAGGCCCACCATATCGATTGCTATGCTTACTGATTCCATTAAAGTAGGTACAAATTCAAGTTAGGTCTTTAGAGGTGTTGAATTCATCTCAAGACTTGGAAAAAGTGAAGCATTGGAGCCACTATTTAGTGAGCACTAAGGTCATGCAGTCGTGGAAGATCATGTGCAAGTGTAAAGAGTTGATATGAAAATTAGTGAGCTGATAAAAAATTTAAAAAAAAAACCCTTGATTTTAAAAGAAAACTTGGGGGAAAACATTATAGCAATGATAGAAATAATAGGACCTTATAGGCTTAAATAGATTATTCTCAAATTAATATGTATTTATGCAAATTTAGAGTAAATTAAGATGAATCATCAACGTTAAGTAACTTTACTCGGAACTGACTTATAGTGTAAATATGTAAACAACTTAGTTATACCACATGTTCTTAGGTTTCAAGTCTTAATGAGCTTTCAAATTCCTCTAATTCTGAAAAATTAAAAATGAAAAGTGATTTGCCTCTTATCAAGAACAAAACTTCAATGCTCCTAAAATGAGCAAAACCGAGGAAACCGACAGTTTCGATAGCCTGAACCTGCCAACAACCTGAAAGGGCACTGGATCCAGTCCATAGGTCACAATGGTTGCTAATATATTTGCTTGCTTTCTTTGTGAGCATGGACAATTTCTTTTGCAATTCCCCTTCTTCCTGAACTGTTGATTTCGAACAACCATGACATAACAAGGACTTTGTGTCTTTTTCTAAATGAAATTTAAAAGTGATAAAGGCAATAATAATATCCCACAAATTCAGACGGCTTGCAAATATTATACATAAAAAAAACTGTTGATTTCGAACAACCACGACATAACAAGGACTTGCGTCTTTTTCTAAATGAAATTTAAAAGTAATAAAGGCAATAATAATATCCCACGAATTCAGACAGCGATAATAATCTATGAATGATAGGCGCC